TCAAAAAGTCAGACTCTGGATCTGCGCTCTCAGAAGCGGACTCGGAAACCAAACTCCTTGAGTCGGACACGGAAACAAAGTTCTTTGCGGTAGCATGAGGAGCAGCGCTCACCGGGACAGGATCGGGTCCAGCGCTCACTGGGACAGGATCAGGTGCAGCACTCACCGGGGCAGGATCGGGTGCAGCGCTCACCGGGACAGGATAGACAGGGGGTTCAAGGATCTTGAGAAGAAGGGACAGGTATGCAGACAGGGTCTTGGCCGCAATGTTTATGGGCATCTCCTGACGCGCCGAAACTGCCTGCACAATCCTCTCTGCGGCAAGATCGGTCGCAACTCTCGGAGAAGAGGGCTCTGAGGCAGCTCTTGCTGAGGCGGGTTCTGGAACAGCGCTCTCAGTCACCGAATCGGGCATTGTGGCTCCTGCAGCAGCTCCAGGAACTGCTCTCACAGAAGCCGTAACAGGTTGAGAACTCACTGCGGGCACATGGGAAGGTTGAGACGGAGAGCGAGAAGATCCCTTCCTTCTCTTCTTCCTCCTGGGACGAGAAGCAGAGACCATGAGTGAGTCAGTGCTCGGTTGAGGAACCATTGCCGGGTCCGTGACAGGCGGCAGAGGAACGGTCCTCTCAGGCTGGATTGACTCCGAAGCGGACGCCTCTGACGGGGATTCCCATGAGATCCGCCTCCCTCGTTTTCCACGGAGATCAAAAGGGACGGACGGAGCTTTAGGAGTCGTGGAAGAGTCAACCGGGCTTCCAAACATCGCGACCCCTATCCGGAGACCTTCAGGGATAACCGACAGTCGAGCAGAAGGTGAAGTTCCTGTAACACTCTGCAGCTCCCGCTGTGACAGAGTGTCCACCACGCTGTGGAACGGGCGGCTGACCAGTTTCTCTCGCTCAGCGAGAGGGGGAGGATCGTTGAGACCCGCGATGAGGTAGCATTTCACCAGGCTGTCCGGCAGGAAGAACCCTCTTTCCTCCACAAGCCGGACATACTCTCTCAGGGTTAACCTACCCTGAGGAGGGAAAGGAAGCTTGCCCTCCCGGCTGTCGGCGACGACCGACTGCCACCACCGCTCGGGGTCTGAAGACTGCGGGGTTGTGTAGATCGACGCGCTGTCCGCTGGGTTCCCTTCTGGTCGGTTCATTCTGTTATGATGTGGTAAGGAGAGAACCCAAACGCAGACGATATGCAGACACTCAAGGTTTAATGACGATAAAACAGAAAGCAAAAACCCACGATGGGGCAAAAACAAGACAGGATAAACTGATACTACTACAAACACGACTTTCAACAGGAACTCACAACTCGAACGATAAACATAGAACTCGAGACAGGTATCACAGGTTTCACAAGGCTTAGACAAGGTTAGACAGTCAACATTGATTAGACAATGAACCGACAAAAGACAGCGAGAACACGGGGATTACATAGGGAACACTAATGACCAACACAGGTGATACTAATAATACAATGATGACAAGACAGGGATAACAAGGGGGGCGGAGACTGGAAACGAGACAACACAAGCACATGACCAAAACACAAGGCCATGTGCTTGCACACAGAACATGGGTCTGTCATGATCCTGCCGCTATACTAGAAAATGACGGACATGATGGCAGAATCATGACAGAATGAGGGGATAGGGTGTGATTGGGAACACAGCCTCTGAGTGCCGACTTTGAGTGCTGTTAATTCACAGTATATTCCTGTAGGCTAGTTTTGTTTTCTACGGTATATTACTGTTTTAATGTAAAATGGTATGATAGTCAGAATTTGGCCTTTTTTAAACTATTGTTAACAGTGTGTCAACACTCCCGTTTTTCCCGGGTTTCTCCCGTTTTATTAGCCCTATCTCCCGGATCCCTCCCGGTTTGTTATTTTTCCCGGGAAACTCCCGTAATTTGAATGGCCTAAACTCCTTTATGAATAATCGGACCAATATGTTTGTCTAATGTTGACCAGTTGCCAGATTGTATTAAATGCATTATATTCACAGAATCCACAAACCATTTACAATTTCAACCCGTTTGTCACCTCAACCTGGCAACCTATAACCCAGTTGCGCAGTCGCGGAAAGTTTAACCCAAAAGCGAGCCGATAGACGTGATGCCAGGTGAAGGCGGTGTCCCCGCAAAGAAACTGAAGTACAGTGCGATGGATTATCACGATCAATACCGTTCCCAATTATCCCATATTCCCATCTAGAATATTTGGATAACCTCGCGGTAAATAAAGAGCCTATCCTTTAGTCGTGTCCTCAAGAGTTAGGTGATCAGTCTATACAAATTTGTGTTCTATTATAGAAATAATAATAATAATAATAGATTTCCCCTTTGTATTATAAGTCTACCTTTTGTGGTACTCTTCAACCGTGTTTGCAATACGACACCCTGTCATATGCTGCCTCTTTGGCTAGGCTACTTGATCAATCAAATCTTACAGTGATTCTTCTTATCTCAAAAGAATGCTCACCCTCAGATGTCTTCTTCTCCAGAAAGGATCCTCTTGACCCCGTTGGATGTGACTCGTACTCAATAACCCAAGATTCAGTCAGATGATTATAATAAATGTTTTAACAAAATTTATTAAAAGAATCAAATGAAAGAAATACTTGTTACAGGTTATAGATAAGTACTAACTAACAGATGTATACTAACTAGGCTTCAGTGCTTCTTGCGGCCAATAACTGCTGGAGTATTGACCTGTTGGTTGCAAGGACGAGCAAAGCAGACTGATCTCATGAAATGGCGTATGTATGACACGCCAATTCGTATTTCCATTTTTGGCGTGCTATCAACACGCATAATCGCTTTTCAGCGTGTTTATCAACGCCTTTGACTTAACGTTATATTACTGTATTATGTATATATAAATATATGACCTACCCCAACCCCGTCCCTAAACCTACCCGTCACTGGGGTTAATACCATTTATGAGTTTTCTCCTACCATCCTAGGAAAAGAAATATCGCTCCACAGATGTAGATATAGATTTTGCTTCGTTTCGCTCGGACATTTAACGGCGTACACATACACGCGGAATCACTCGGACATTTAACGGCGTACACATACACGCAAAAGATTTCGGCGTGGACATACACGCGGATATCTCAAAATGCGTATAGATAACACGCCACTTGAATTGAAAGTGGCGTGTATGTTTACGCAAAGTCATGATGTCATGTTGAGCAAAGAATCTTCTCCAAGTCTCATTCTTTTTAGTCTCTTCCCAGGCCCTGCCTTTGCATGTTACATAAGCATGATTCAAATACGCTGCACTTTCGCCCCATAAATTGCCAATTTCGGCGCAAAATATGCAAGGCTTGCATGATTTCATAATCCCTACATTTTCGTTGCAAAAAAGTCACATCTTAGCAGAAAGTTGAAAAATGTTGCGTTTGCTTCACACAAGAGCAGCCATTTCCCTGAGTTGCCATGGGAACGTTATTAAGTGACGTAATTATGCGACGTGAACATCATCGAAAAGCTGTAAAACAGGAAGCATTTTATATTTTTTATATTTTATTTATTCATTTTTACAGAAGTTGTAGCATATTCCTTTTGTAAAGCTACATAACTTGTTTGACTCATCAATGTTTTGTAAGTTTGATGTGTTTATTAAGATCTGAAATAAAACAAGATGAGAACTGAAATATTTCCAGCACTTTCTGTTATGTATATGCTTGCTTATCATAGGAAGTAATAAGAAATGACTCTTTACATTAAGTTAGGAGCCTAGTGAGAACAGGGTGTTGGGGAATCACTTTTTTCTCTCTTTTTCATCAAACCGCAGTTCTTGCAAGTTCCCACAATTTCATCGCATAAAATTGCATAAATATCCCGCATATTCCATTGCATTTTTTAAGAAAACGTGCCGCATAATCGAGGATTTTTGCCTGCAACAATCACAAAAAAACTCCGCATTGTTCTGGTAGGACTGGCCTTTGGGTCACATCACAATACAGCTTTTGTCCCCCCCACTTTTATAATGGCTGCTACGCCCCTGAGCATGAATACACAATGTGGGTTTAACAAGCCTCTCATAAGCATTAGTAGGCATTGTGGCTTGATAAGCCAGAGCGATAATGGTTTAATAAGTCAAACAAGCGTATGGCTTCTAATTTAATATATATGAATGCTATGGTTTAAGAAGACTTGAGCAAGCTATAAGCATAGTTTCCTGTTGCAGACACTATGTGTGGGTGTATGGCTTAACATGCCTTATTAGATCAACAGCCCTGGGGCTAAATATCCTTTCTCTTAGAAGGGGGTCTTGGAGCGTGATGTCTTTCATTAGTCCAGCTAGTTCTTTGACACTAGCTGCAGTGTGCTGGACAGTGGGTCTCTTATTATGACCTTTTCTTTTTTGGTGGTAAGTTAAGGGTGATGCAGAAGTGAGGGAAATGCCATCCTGAGCTTCTCTTCACAACAGTTGTAAATTTCAACAATGTTGGACGCAACCATTTACGTGCATCATATCGACAACCTCCACGCTTTCCTCAGAGATGAGTTTCAGCATGGTGAAAAAGATAGTTACAGAAAATCGCATGAGCATGAATAACAGCACTCTTTACTCTCTCCTATCCTGCAAAATAAACCACACCGGTTTGCTTTCAAAATACACTCCGTCCAAGAGGGCTCTGAGAGCAGCTAAATCTGCCACGTACAATTACAACACTTAAAAAAAAATAAAAAGGTGAGCACATATTCATGTTTACAAAAGAGACACAGTTATTGATGCTCAAGGTATGAACTGTAAATAAATGTGTTAAATGAGTTTGTACCACAGTGTTGTATGTGTTTGTACCAGTGTTAAAAACTGTGATGTTTTGTCGTAATAAAATTACAAATAAAAAATATAAAGAAATATTAATAAAAATTAAGTTATGTTTTCATATATGAGTATTGCAATTTAAATAATACACTTAACACGTGCAGTACACTTAACAGCATGAGCCTACCTCTTACAGCATGAGCCTATAGAGAAACTCATTTCGCACTGATCACACGTGACGTGTGCAGCTTCTCTCCGCTGTGGATCATCTCATGTTTTTTCAGATGTTCTAAACGACTGAATCTCTTGTCGCAGTGTGAACACTTGTAAGGTTTTTCTCCAGTGTGGATCCTCTCGTGTTGTTTCAGAAGTTCTAAACGACTGAATCTCTTGTCACAGTGTGAACACTTGTAAGGTTTTTCTCCAGTGTGGATCCTCTCATGTCTTTTCAGATGTGCAGACAGACTAAATCTCTTGTCACAGTGTGAACACTTGTAAGGTTTTTCTCCAGTGTGAATTCTCTGGTGCAGTTTTAAACCGTCTTCTGTAATAAAAGTCTTCTCACACTCAAAGCACATGTACTCTCTCACACCAGTGTGAGTTTTCTCATGTCTATGTAAATGTTGCCGCAGTGAAAAACTCTTTCCACACACAGAACATGAATACGGCTTCTCCTTCGTATGAACTCTCAGGTGTGCCTTCAGGGTTGATTCACTAAGAAATGTTTTCCCACACTGATCACATGTGAACGGCTTCTCTCCGGTGTGGATCCTCATGTGTTCTTTAAGAGACTGTTTGTATGTGAAATTGTTTCCACATTGATGGCATACATGCGGCTTCTCTCCAGTGTGAACTCTCATGTGTCGCTTCAGGTAAGTTTTAAAAGAGAAACTCTTTCCACATTGATCACACGTGTGCGTCTTCTCTCCGCTGTGGATCCTCTCATGTGTTTTCAGATATGATGAGTGACTGAATCTCTTATCACAGTGTGAACACTTGTAAGGTTTTTCTCCAGTGTGAATTCTCTGGTGCACTTTTAACTGGTGTGCTGTAGTAAAAGTCTTCTCACACTCAAAGCACATGTACTCTCTCACACCAGTATGAGTTTTCTGATGTCCATGTAAATGTTGCCGCAGTGAAAAACTCTTTCCACACACAGAACATGAATGCGGCTTCTCCTTCGTATGAACTCTCAGGTGTTTCTTCAGGTATGATGCACTAAGAAATGTTTTGCCGCACTGATCACATGTGAACGTCTTCTCTCCGGTGTGGATCATCATGTGAGCATTAAGGTGTGATAATTGACTGAAACTCTTCCCGCATTGATCACATGAGAACGGCTTCTGTCCGGTGTGGATCATCATGTGAGCATTAAGGGATGATGATTGACTGAAACTCTTCCCACACTGATCACATGAGAACGGCTTCTGTCCGGTGTGGATCATCATGTGAGCATTAAGGTGTGATGATCGACTGAAACTCTTCCCGCATTGATCACATGAGAACGGCTTCTGTCCGGTGTGGATCATCATGTGACGCTCAAGACATTGTTTGCTTGTTAAACTGTTTCCACACTGAGTGCAGGTGAAAGATTTCTTGGCTCTTATTTTCTTTAAAAATTTATTTTTAGTCTTTGAGCGACTCAAAGGTTTTTCTCCAGGTTGGACATGATGTTCCTCCTCCACTTCATTCAGTTCTTCTCTCTCCTTGCTCTCTTCCATCAGGTCTGACATGAAAGAAACAAATATTACATTTTATTTTCAGTACATCAAAATATTTAAAAGAGAAATATAAAGTGAAAGGACATGAACTGCTATAAAATATTATGATAATTTGTCTTTGAAACTTTCCATGAATGTTTCTTCCAATTATTATTATTAAACCATCATCACTGCGTAAGAGACACTGAATCAAAGAGTCTTTTTAAAAGTATTCCCTAGGGAAAAAATTATATTTTATTGTATTTGAAATATATATTCCTCTTTGCAATAGTACAGTGCAAATATACTAACAAAAAAGTGTAGTATCTTTCAATATATTAAAAGTAGCATCATGCTTTCCCAATACAACTTTTAACACACTTTAAAATAATTTTAATATACTTCTACATACTTTTAATATATTTCAAAGAAGTACACTACAAGTACTTTGGTAATAATTATATGCTTAGTTACATTTTTAAGAAATATTCTAAACACAAGCATACTTTAAGTGAAGTTTGTGTATTTAACCCTCTGGGGTCTGAGGTGTTTTGGGGGCCCTTGAGATGTTTTGACATGTCCTGACATTTGTGCTTATTTCAGCTACTTAAAACATACCATTTGCCAACATATAAATTGGCTGTATTCAGCACAAACTCTGCTACAATAATTTGTGAGCAAAATGGATGTACATGTTTGCATTTTATAGAAAAAAAATATTATGCGTGGTTAGTACGTTTTGGGAAAAGAAATGTCACCGCAATAAGGCCATTTAACACATACTGAATAGTTGTCCACAAGACTTTTGAGTTACTATTCTTGTAGGCTAGAATTTTTACTTCAAAATGAAGTGAAAATCATTCTGACCACTCTTTCTCTGACCAGAATTTCAGTTTCATAAAGAGAAATCTCTCGTATCTCTGTGACAAGTATTGACTGAGTTACAGTTAATTTTTCGGACGCGTTTCAGAATGGACTTCACTGACAGAGAGAAGGCAAAATGCGCATCATGTTTATTTTTCTTTATTTGACGAAAAGCACAACACTTTGTTTTTATTGTGAGTATCCACAAAAAAATAGACACTTAACAGGATCTAATGATGTACAACACTTATATGTAAGATCAAAATCAACAGAGTAATTTGATTCTCTTTTGCACTGATAAGGAAAAAATCGAGCTTGTCGCGCCGGCGCGACGGCCGACCCCAGAGGGTTAAAGAAAACGTACTCGGTTACATACGTAACCTCGGTTCTCTCTAGAAGAGGGAACGAGTATTGCGTAAGTTGCTTACGCTATGGGTAAAGTCATCTTTTCTCGAGATATTGAAGTCAAAAATTATCCTTAATTTTCCATTTATTGTCAAGGCAGTGCAGCTGCTAGCAGACCTAGATCAGGCTATCTTGCGTGCTCATTGGCGTCCCTGCGGCAACTGCTGCACTGAGCCTTGCGCGTGACGTCACACCCAATGAGGGCGCTACGCGTCACAGCCTGCCAAAATGGGGGTGGCTTAGCGTATAAAAGTCAAGCTCGGTGGCTGTGTCACTGGTTTCATCAGCTGAAGCGAAAATCGCTCGTGGCGCCTGCACGGTCAGGTTACGCAATACTCCTACCGAGGTTACGTGTGTAAGCGAAGACGTTCTCTTACGAGAGGTTCTCTCGTATTGCGGAAGTTGCTTACGCTATGGGAACCCAATGTCAACGCCGTGTGCGCCCAGCATCCACTTCATGAGTCCCAGGGATTCCCGGGGAACATAGATAAGTGGAAATCAGGCGGCCAGCAATGCGGGCCAGTACATGTTATAAGCACATATAGGGTATACAGAGCGGCGTTGCCGGTCTATATAAATATTCACCATACAGTGCAGCTCAACCAGGAGAGCTAAGGTCGCGTGAGAGTAGTCTGCGCATGATAAATCTAGGCAGGACATACACACCGCTCATACTGACAGAAGTCTAGCCTGCAGGGCGGGAACTTCCAGGTTATAAAACCTAACAAATGTGGACAGGGAGGCCCAGCCTCCTGCCTCACAAATGTCCTGAAAGGAAATCCCGCTGGACCAAGCCCATGACAAGGCCACGCCTCTGGTGGAATGAGCCCTAATGCCCAAGGTGCATTGCAGACCTTTAGACACATAAGCAGATGCGATAGCTTCCACTATCCATCTTGACAGGCTCTGTTTCGAGGCAGCGAGACCCTTGGGGCGCCCACCAAACAAGACAAAGAGCTGTTCCGAGCGCCTGAAAGGGGCGGAGCGCATAATGTAAGCCCTCAGCGCCCTTACAGGGCAGAAGAGATTAACATCGCTCTCACTATCGGATGCTGGCAGAGCCGATAGAGAAATGACCTGCGCTCTGAAGGGAGTGCCCAACACTTTAGGGACATAGCCATACCTTGGTTTGAGGATGACTTTAGAGTCATTTGGCCCGAACTCAAGAAACGCAGCGCTAACAGAAAGCGCGTGTAAATCCCCCACACGTTTGACTGATGACAGAGCTGTCAGAAAAACGGTTTTGAGCGAGAGGTACTTTAGGTCCATGGAGTCTATCGGTTCAAAGGGGAAAGCTTTCAGGGCCTCTAGGACCAAGGAAAGATCCCACATGTGAACCGACGGGGGTCGCGGGGGATTCATCTTTCTGGCTCATCTAAGGAAGCGGATGACAAGCTCGTTTCTTCCTATTGACTGGCCGCGCGTCGACTCAGTAAACGCTGCAACGGCCGCCACATATAATTTAAGCGTGGATGGGGACCTGCCCTTATCCAACAGCTCTTGAAGGAAGCCAAGCAAACACGGGACCCCACACGTTCGTGGGTCTAGATCTATATCAGCACACCATTTGGAGAACACCGACCATTTAGACGCGTAGAGCCGCCTCGTAGATCTATTAATCATTGGTTAATTTTATCTAAATTCTTCTTCCCTTTCACAGATCCTGTGATAAAGCAGTCTTCAAGTACTACAGTATCTAAAACCACAAGCCCTCAGTTGCAGGAAATGAGTCGCACTCAAAGAAGTGATGGTCCACTTGAAGATGTGACATTCAAACTATTCTGTTTCTTTGGTTCAGCCATTTGTAGGCCTAGGTTTGTAAATAATGCATTATTCACTGCTGCACATTGTTTTTCCGTAACTTAGATTTCATTTTTTTCAGAAAATTGCATTGTGATGCTTATTTATTTAGTGATGTTTATTTATTTAGTGATGTAATATTCATAGTGTACTTTTCAGTACTGAAATGTTCTACAAAAAATTATAAATATAGCTCTGCCATTGCATTTCACTGATCTTTATTATGTATTTTGTTCAAGAGATTATATATGATGCTGTACTTTTTTTGTACTCCTATGTATTAATTTTGTACTGTACACAAAAAGATACTATATTAAAGTTTTCTTGATTTGAAAGTCTGTGTATGTCTTAACATTTATATTTAATTATTTTTGTACTTTTAATGTACCATTTTAAATACTGAATAAAACAGCTTTATAATAAACTATTAGTTTAATGCTAATACAGTTTTAATGCTATTTAAATGTTCTTGCCGTACATTAAAATTAAGCTTCAAATATATTATAACTGTACTTTAAGACATGTGAAAGTATATTTATAATGACTTGTAAAGAAATACACTTAAATGTACTTGAAGTGGTTCCATTTTAGCCCAATTTAATATATTAAAATATAGTGCAAATAGCTTAAAATTGATCTTAAGTATCTTGAAATACACTTAATATACTTGAAGTTGTTTCAAAATAATAAATTATAAGTATATTGCTTGTATGTTTGGAAGACACTCATAATGCATTTGTAATGTACTTGTAACAGAAATAAAGTACACTTTAATATTACTATAAGCATGTAATTAGTCCCTACACTAGGGGTGGGCGATATGGCAAAAATATCATATCACAATTTTTTTTCAGGAAAATCACGATTCATGATTTTATCACGATTCTTTTTTTTTATGTTGGTCTTACTATTTTGCAAATGGTTGAGCATTACAGCCAAACTAATGTCCCTATTTTAAAAAAAGCCTTATAGCTCTTCATCTCTGATTTTCATGTTATTACCTAGAGATAGACTAGAGATATTATCTTCTGTTATAATTATTATTATTGCTATTATTATTACCTACTATCCATGCAAAAGTCCAAAAAAAGACTTGTCAAATAATGTCAAACATTTTGTTAAAAATTATAACATCTTTGACAAAAAACAAAACAGAACACAAGTTTGTGAGTGTGTGCATCTGTGAGTGTGAGAGTTTGTGAGTGTGTGCTAGTGTAGTGTAGAGAACAAGTTCTGGCGTTCAAACAAATCCTGTTAAGTTTTCTGATTTGTATTTTTCTTTATTTTTTATAAATTATGTTTTGTTCTGACAGCTCAGGTCCCTTTAAACAAAAATGTACATCTTTTTGTGCACTTTATTTTTAAAAAGCTGTAGCAACATTGGGTATTGCCTTAATAAGCTCAAAATTATTTATAGGGAATTTTTCCCATGTGACATGGGCAAACAGACACACATAAAAACACATCGAATACATCTGGTTAAATGTCTTTCAGTGAGGATATTTGGATAAAGGTTTGTGTGTGTGTGTGTGTGATTGTTCTTCAGAGTTCAGGGTGCTTTGTGTAATGAGTGAGCCGGAGCTCCTCACTACACAATGTTCTGTTTGTGAGGTGATCAAATCAGGGGAGACCCCTAAGGGGCTGTTCTCCGCGTGATCTTCGGCCAGACTCGTGAGATGTCATCTCGAGTCATGTCCTTTTGGTCACATGTCGTAAGCAAAGCATTTCTTTGTTTATTCATTAGAGAAAAAACGCTGCATGTGCGAATCAGAGTCAATGATTTAATCAATTCAAAACACTATTCCTTTGTTTCACCGAATGGAAGAATGTAGGGGAACTTTAGTAAATTAGAATCTAGTTAATTTACTCCAACATACCAGAGCTGGCTCAACTAACCATCTGATTATCGCTAAAAAAGCCTATATATTTGGCAGTATAAAGCATACATGTGTATATTTTTTGTGTTAGTCCATTTTTTTTATTATTCCTTTAACAGCTCAGGAGCAGAACCTGTTTGTGCCCTTTCTGAAGATTTTTTGCACTGTGAATTTACGCTGTCAGTTACGATTTTGAATAAAGGGTTGGAAATGAATGCTTTTTTTATTGAATATTTGATCAGATTCATCGATTAATCGAAAAAATAATCGACAGATTAATCGATTAGTAAAATAAGCGTTAGTTGCAGCCCTAGCTCTTACTACTGCATGATGGGAGGACAAGAAAATAATCTCAATCCATTGACTCAATTTTTACAAACTACATTTTTTTAAACTGTAGCATTGACTGTATTCATCAACCCTGTTATCAAAGTTACTGTAAGAAGAATCTCTATAACTATGAATAACTTGTATGATATTTGACAAATACAACTTTATCAGTAACTTGGTGTTTACCGATTATTCCTAAAAATGTTGAAAATGATTAGAATTCTGGTAACGTTGTTGCAAATTGGGAACCAGATATAAAATAAATGTAAAATAAAACAGTTAAACTAGTATTTAGTTTGATCTGATGCTGACAATTAATATAAAAATGTCTCAAATCTCCCTTTACTGACCATTTGTTGAAGAAAACCCAGAACATTCTGAACCATTTCATAGTGTAACTGTTTACCTAAATGTGATGAAGTGCTTGAATGTTTCTAACATGAATGTTCTCCAGCATCATGAATGAATGAAGAATAAACACCAACCTCTTTGTTCTTCAGGATCTTCAGTGTGTTTCATTCTCCAGGGTTCTGGATCACTCTTGTTCTCACTGTCCTCTTTAATAAACTCAGTCTTTGCAGATTTCGGCTCTTCCTGATGCTCTGATGCTCGTCCTCACTTGTAGCTGATGGGAATTTACAGCATTTATTGGGGAATTACAGTGGGAGGAGCTTCACTGATGACATGAGTGCAGTGGGAGGAGCTTCACTGATGATGTGATTGCAGTGGGAGGAGCTTCACTGATGATGTTATTGCAGTGGGAGGAGCTTCACTGATGATGTTTTTGCAGTGGGAGGAGCTTCACTGATGATGTATTCCAGTGTGGGAGGAGCTGATCTACCTAATTCAAAAATATAAATTACTGAGTTTGTTTTTATAAATGACACTTCCAAGTATTTATGTCTATCTATTCATCTATCTATTTCATCGTACAGTCACTGATGCCAATTCATTAACTATTTTTATATTGTTAATCCTAACATTATTCTGCTGGTATCTAGAAATAAAAAAAATAATATAAATCATTTAAATTCTTCCAAGAATGAATAATGGTAAGAAAAACAGTTAAAATCATAGACACAGAAATAAACATAATAGCCAACAAATCCCCTCAGTCTGCTGACACCAATGAAATGAGCTTTAAGTGTCAATTTACAGGAGATCTGAAGACATCAGCATAATAAATGAGGAGAAAACAAGAACTATTGTCATGAAATAAAGAGTGTTTTCAGCAGATCTGTTAATATTGATGATCCTCAGACTATCAACACTCATTCAACAAGCCATTCAGGATCACCAGCAGATCATCTCACTTTATTCTGAGTGTTTGCTGTTAGAAACACATTATCAGAGTCAGGATACATGATAAAAGCCTGTAAAACTGCTCTACTGAAAGACAATACTGTTATTTCTCACACTATGACATGGATAAAACATCAATAACACACAATCACCAATGACACTCATCAACTACTACAGATACATAATTACAGCAGCATAATTTGCCCAAATTAAGTCTGATCTTATGATAACTAAGCAACATTAATCACTATAAAGTAGTTAGATCATTAAAATAATAACGTTTTATATGCGCAGAAACAGAAAATGATCATACAACTTTTACAAATAAAGAGCACCACAAAGCAAGCACGTTTTGTTCCAACAGTAAAGCGCTATGCAAGTTATATATTTCCAGTGTGACACTTGAGATCGATTCACATCAATTCCCTTAACAGATCCTAAGCTTTGACTTTTGACTTGACGAAACAATCACACAAACGAACACAAAAAATCTCTCAGGTCTGAGTGAACTCCACATATTCTCCTCATGCTCGCTGCTGCTGCACTAAATGTGTATTTCAGCAGAAAAGACGCACAAGTATCGCTGTGACCGATGAAAACAATATAGAAATGAGTCTGTCGCTTAATCAAACTGTATAAAGTGTAGTGATGTGACATCTGAAGCGAGGCTCCGGAGCTTGTGTCGAGCAAAAAGGGGCGTTCCAGATGAAGCCCCGATTCGAGGCTTGTGTCGTTTCCGTGAAAATCACGTGACGATAACAAACGAGGCCTCGGATTGTGTTGAATACGTCATTGCTTCATTCTGAGTATCGCTTCCGGATAAAAGTGGTTCGAAACCTCGCGCCTCTCGTGGGTTTTGCAGTAGGCGTTTGCATTGGTGTTGAAGTGTTGGTTGTACGAAGTAGTGAGTAGCGAGTTGTAGCGAGTTTGTAGTAGCATAGTTATCATTATATATCATAGCCTGTATTATATATTATATTACATTATACTTAGTTTAGTAGATTATTAGATTATTAGAGTAAAGTATACATAGTTCAGTAGATTATTAGAGTAAATTAGCCTATATCTAGTTCTAGTTGCTATATATATATACTAGTGCTGGGCAAGTTAACGCGTTATTATCGCGTTAACGCATTTATTAATTAATGCCGACAATTTTTTTATCGCGCGTTAACGCAGTTTTTTTTATTATTATTATTTTGAAAGTCCGTTGCTCACTGGCTCTGAATACACATAGGCCTACAGTCAAACCATGATCACAGGAGGGGTGGGATGTTGGTCAGCCAGCAAATAACCCACCCAAACAAGCAGTGGAGAGGCTTTGGCAGGTTCTCTCAGGTGAACAGAAAGGGAGAAAGCGCTCCGCGAGTGAATGACAGGCGCTCTATGGATAGTAACCATGCAACGGCTTCTGTGCGCTACGCAGCTGTAGTCTTTTTAACTTAAATTAAAATTAAATTATACATAACTTTACCTGATAGGCCTGCGTTTAGTTTAGCGGGGATGCTCTGCCATGTGAATTCCCTCCTGTTGATGTCCTGATAACTATTTAGATTCTGGAAACTCACAAACAGCGAGCCAAGGATCAGTCTCTCTTCCAATGATTTGTGCTGCGCGTCGTGTACAAAAAGTTAGACAATTCAACTTCGGCAACGCACGGGCGCGTGCGTGAGGCGAGCATGACCGCAACAGTTTCACAGGAACGCACCCGCTTGTCGCTGCACCTGTGCTGCACCACTTCACCTCACTCTAGGCTGATTTATACTTCTGCGTCGGACCTAAGCCGGAGCCTCTACGCTATAGACTACGCGTTGGTTTTCATTTATAAATCTGCGTCGTTGACGCGCAATTACACATGCAGAGGGAGAGTGTGAAACCCGGGGAGCGGTTCTAGCAATCACAGCGCTTGCAGTACGCGTAGAATTGACGTTACATTTTTGGAGAGATGCACGTCAGGGTACGCGCGCTACACAGCTACGGCGTGAGTTCGACGCAGAAGTATAAATTGGGCTTTACCTCTGTTTAATGTAATCTTACGTGGGAAACCATGGCATGCCATGACCAAACCTAAGCTGCTATCAGAGAAGTAACGTTGGTCGACTTATATCTGTAGTAGTGATCATGACCCTTTGACTACATAGACTGTTTCTGCTGCTCCCTGATACAAGATACCTGTTCAGAAAAAAAAAGAAAAGAAAACTGGACTCGTTTTAACAAGCTAGATAAAAGGTAATGCCCTGGCAGTGGCAAATAGCTTTGTTTAAATATTTGATTTGATTATGTTAATGTTTAAGTTGAGATTTACAAGAAATATTTTATTGATACTGTGTAAAGGGAATACTGCTGGTATAAAAGCACCTTATTTGTTTAAAGTTTTTGCAAACCACATGTTATTGCACTTTTGTAGCAGTACATTTAAATCAAAAGTGCGCAATACACTACTTTAGAATTCATTATTCAATATTGCGCGTAACAATGCGATTAATCGCGATTAATCGCAAGAAATCATGCGATTAATCGCGATTAAATTTTTTAATCGTTGCCCAGCACTAATATATACATATATTGGTAGTAGTGTTATTATTGTATATATATATATATATATAATATATATATATAATATATATATATATATATATATATATATATATATATATATATATATATATATATATATATATTATTGCTATTATTATTATTCTAAGACTAGACTGTAGGGAAAGCCTTAGAGTGCAAACGTTAAAGGCAAACCTAGAGCCCTTACAATGGAGCCAGCAAGAAAGAGGAGAACTTCTCCTGTCTGGGAGCATTTTGAATTGATTGCTCATAACAAGGTTTGTATACATTTATATAATTTATTATCATAACATCACATAATCCTCACCATATCGCTGTATAATCACAATGTGTATTATCTGCATGTTGAAGGTGAAATGTTTGCTGTGCCATAAAGAGCTGACTTACAGCAACAACACCTCTTCAATGCTTAGGCATTATCGTGCAATGCATGAGGATGCACAACCTGCTGCAAACAGACCAGCCACTAGTCAAAGTAATATTTAATCTTAATTTTTTTATTATGTAAATAATGTGTTAGGCTCCTACAATACACCAGCATTGTACTGTGTTATAGATTACAGAAAGAAAATGGTGGATGAGGCTTTGGTCAACATGGTCATCAAAGACTCCCAACCCTTTTCTGTTGTGGATGACGTGGGGTTTAGGGAGCTTGTGCATGTGCTGGATCCATCCTATGTTCTCCCAACAAGAAAGGTATGTATGTGAATAGACTAAAGTAGTTTATTGTTATAAAGTCAGAATGAATAGTAACAATTAATATTTTCATTCTCAGGCTTTGAAGTCCATGGTTGACACCCGGTATGAGGAGGCTAAGGAGAAGGCCAAAGAAAAATTGGACAATGTTGTTGCTGTTAGCCTTACGTCCGACATGTGGACGTCCATCAACATGGAGGCTTACCTGGCTGTGACTTGTCATTTTATTGATGCCAATGACCAGCTTGGGACAATCTTGCTTGGGGTGCAACATTTCCCAAACACCCATACGGCAGACAACTTGGCTATTGCCCATACCATGGCCATGGAGGAGTGGGGCATAAAGGATAAGGTGAGGTGCCTTGTCACGGATGCTGCTGCCAATATGATTGCCTGTGTGAGGGCATTGAATATTAGGCATGCGATATGCATTGCACATGCATTGAATTTAATTGTCAAGAAGTCTTTCGATGATGTGCCAGGCTTAAATGAGCTTCGCACCAAATGTAGGAAGCTTGTAACCTACTTCAGGACCAGCACAACAGGAAAAGAAAGACTGGCCCAAGTGCAGGTGCAGATGGGGAGGCCTGCTCTGAAAATGATTATTGAGGTGGACACTAGATGGAACAGCACTTACAGCATGCTGGAAAGGCTCTATGACCTGAGAGAGCCAGTGGGGGCAGCTCTAGCCTCTTTGAGGACAGATGTAAGCCCTCCTACTTCATTGGAGTATGAAACAATGAAGGATGCTCTCGACCTACTGGCCCCATTCCACCAGGCCACAGTAGAGCTTTCTGCAGAAAAAAGAGTGTCTGCTTCAAAGGTTATTCCCCTAATGAAGATGCTGAACCACACAATAGTAAGAAAATCCGAGGGCTTAACATCAAATATGGCAAGGCAGCTGGCTGACAACCTTGTCCGTCGCGTCAGAGAGCATGCGTTACAAATGGAATCCATTAGTGTGATGACGATGCCTACATTGCTGGACCCTAGGTTCAAAAAACTAGGGTTCCTAAGTCCAGGGAAGCTCCAAGAAGCCATTACAAGACTAAAGTCAGAATGTGCCAATGTTATCAGAAATTCTGAAACAACACCCCCAGCTCAAGTACCTGCCTCACAAGCTGGGCCATCTACAACCTGTGGTAAGTAGTCTATGTCTTATGTGAATTTTCACATTTGTAATGTCATGTAATGTGAACCATTGAGAAGTGAGTGTTTTCCCTTGTATAATTATAGGTGACCTTTGGCATCTACTGGACAGCACAGTGGATAACAGCAGACGGAGCTCCAGTGTGACCGCAGATGCTACTATTGAGGTGGACCGTTATTTGTCAGAGACAAATCTGGCAAGGACTGAGGATCCGCTGGGTTATTGGAACAAACAGAAGCTCCAACATCCCAATTTATATAAGCTGGCACTTACGTTCTTATGTTGTCCGGCATCATCGGTGCCCTGTGAAAGGGTGTTTTCTAAGGCTGGAGAGGTGGTTTCCAAAAAGAGAAACCGCCTCAATCCAAATACTGTAAAAAAAACTTTTGTTTTTAAATAAAAATCAGTAAAAATGTTCCCATCCCTGTTGCAGTTTGCTGTTCCACTCCCAGTTCCATAAGCACTACATAATTGTACTCCCAGTTCCATAATCACTACACTATTGCACTCAGTCAGCACTGCACTCAGTGATTTCTTGACACTCATTTGGGGCATTCACTGTCATCACTAACCCAAAGAACTACTGAATACAAAGTTATGTGTGTGTGAGTTGTGTGTGCATAGGTAAACACAAGCAGAGTAAAAAACTTTATTTAAAACACAGGCAATAGAAAAAGGGTGTGCCCACACCATGACAATTTGGTTGCTCAGGATGAATAGATTTGTGTGCGATACATTGCTTTGCACAGCAGGTGTCACTAGGGAGCACACTGTTTCATGAGGCTTCAGGTAAACGAACCTTTTGGTGAACCAATGGGCTGGAAAGCCTCAGTGGTTCAGGAAGCCTCATTTGGCCATCACTAATAAAGTGTGTGTGATGGTTGTGTAAATATGAGAAAAGCCTACCGTGAACTGCTCTCCTCGCCTCAGAAGACTCGGAAGAGACGGCGCGAGCGAGCGGTGACGTCATCGGCCGCCTATGGCATCAGTTACACAACTTTCCTTCATGTTTTTCTTCTTTATCTTTTTTATTAATTTATTTTAGTTTCCAGCTCATTGTTCTTTTCTCATTTGTATTCTGATGACATTGAACATATTGTTAATACATTTTGTAGTATACAAGTTGTATGTCATCAATTTTTTTTTTATCTCTGTATGTTTTGGACAAATAAATAAATAAATAAAGTAGAATTTTAAGCTGTAAGCACCAGCACGCATAGATTTATGGATATCTATGCCAGCACGTCCCAGCCGGTCACTTATTTGGTTCCCCTGGAAACATTTCCGCTGTGCTCTGTGTTATTTGCAGCGCGTTTCTGTATGGTGGTGTTGTGAGTATTTGGAGCACACGTGTGTTGTGAAACTGATGAAGATGTTTTCTTAATTTGCGGGTGTTTTTTTCTATTTGCATGTGTTTTTTTCTATTTGCACGCGTTTTTTTCTATTTGCATGCGTTTTTTTCTATTTGCACGCGGTTTTTCTATTTGCATGCGTTTTTTTTCTATTTGCATGTGGGTTTTTTTCTATTTGCACGCGTTTTTTTCTATCTGCATGCGTTTTTTTCTATTTGCATGAGTTTTTTTTTCTATTTGCATGTGTTTTTTTTCTATTTGCACCCGTTTTTTTCTATTTGCATGCGTTTTTTTTTTTATTTGAATGTGTTTTCTTCTATTTGCATGTGTTTTCTTTAGTTGCAGCGTGTTGAGCTCTCTCGGCCATTCGGCTGAACCCCACAAATCTGGATTCGGTGCATCCCTAGAACTAACAGAATCAGACTGCAATAGCCTGAACTTAAGACCCAACAACTAATCAATTAATAAAACATTGTTTATTTTTATTCTTTTTACAAATGTAATCAACATTTTCGTAAGTACTATGTGTTGGGATATTTAACATGCCATTTTAATAATATTATGCTGAAATGAACAAAATGACTCGAAAAAAGATTCGTTCATTTTGCTGAGGGAGACTCAAAGATCCGAGTCAGTAACATGATCCGAACTTCCCACTACTACATACATCACTTCCCTCACCACCCCCCACTTCCTCAAATTCTGACGTGAGAGCCCAACGAGCGTTTGTTTGTTTTACCTCAGTATGTTGTTGTCATGGCCGAAGCAGCAACTAAACCGAAGAAAGTAAAGGTTTTGTCGGAGGAGACTAGGAAGAGAAAACGGGAGAGTGATAAAATTAAAGCCCGGACGAGGGTCAATATTGGTCCAGCGTTCGCTCGCTGGCGTGAGTTAAAGGAGGAGGAGGGGTGCCCGACCGATGCTGACCTGGCCGTCATTCTGTTGGACTAGTAAGTATTTCTTGCATACTATCTCTATTTTTTAGAATTTGTTGTCAGCCTGGCCATGTTACAGAAGCTATCTGGTCCTCCATTTATCTTCATGAATCAAGTAATGCAAGTAGAGTAGCGAATTATCAATCTGGTAAATTAGCCAGTAGTCTACTAAACATGTAAGTTAGATTAGGGTGACCATATTTTGATTACCAAAAACCAGGACACTCGGCCCGGCAAACAGATACTCGAAGTTTACTCAAAGATGCCTTATTAATTTCAATACATTTAAAGTAGGCTATGCCTCCTCTGTATGGATTGAAAATTGTTATACAAGACACAAATTCAGATAGGCTTCTCAGAGGTTACTCAACATGTTTTATTATGACAGGTTTCAAAAATAATGAATGAAATAATGATAGAAGTAATGTCTCTTCTGTATTAGAAATATAAATATATAAATAATAAATAACTAAACGAAATACCTCCAAATTGAACAAAAATAGCTCTCACAAACTTACAAAAACGAACTAACAAAATTTATTTATATCTTTAGTTTTCTTCCTCTTTATCCTGTTTTTCTTCCTCATCCTCCTGTTTTTCTTCCTCATCCTCCTTAACCCAGATAGCACAAGTCTATTTGATGTTATATTTACATCTGGAAGACGTATTTTTAAGAGTGTTTGCTCATCTGCAAGACGTCTATAGGACGTTTCCTGTCAGATGTCAAATAGACGTTTAGAAGATGTCTTTAAGATGTAATGATTTAGAATGCATGTTAAACTGACATCTTCTAAACGTCTCTTTGACATCTGACAGGAAACGTCCTATAGACGTCTTGCAGATGAGCAAACACTCTTAAAAATACGTCTTCCAGATGTAAATATAACATCAAATAGACTTGTGCTATCTGGGAATTGTTTGCCCATCTATATTTTACTGTAGAGCTGATCTTTTCCAGCAGTTTTTTGAAAACCAGGACATTTTCATCACTTTATAAAAAACAGCCTGGACAGGACGTGAAAACAGGACATGTCCTGGGAAAACAGGACTGTTGGTCACCCTAATGCTGAGTTCAGACTGCACGATTTTAGCCCCGATTTTGGCTCGCCGACAGGTTTTGAGAAATCGCCGACAAATGCCCGAAATCACAGGCAAATCGGTGCTCGTTCACGCGAGTGACAATCACGCAGTGTGAATGAGCAAAGACGCGATCTGAGAGAATCGCCGACGCCTGTGAGATATTTGGCATGCTAAATATCTGGACCTGTCGGCGATTCACAATCCTGCTGTGTGAATGTGTTCTGACTGAAAACTACATCGGCGATGACCGACAGCCAATGAGAGAGCAAGATACGAGGAGGAGGAGGAGGAGGAGGAGGAGGAGGAGGAGGAGGAGGAGGAGGAGGAGGAGGAGGAGGAGGAGGAGGAGGAGGAGGAGGAGGAGTTATAGACCAGAATATCAGTATTTTAATAGATAGGCCTATATTTACAATTATATCAAACAGAAACAAAGCACACACATTTGCATGACCAGCAGCAACAGCAGGACATTTGCAAAATGATTTATTTACCCCCAACTCTCTTTGCAAAACACAGTCCTTGCTCCCCTCGTCTTCCCAACCATTTCCTGCATAAACTGTTTATTATTTTTTTTCATTTTCGCTACAAATCAGTGCACAGACAATTTGTAGGCTATCATTTTTAATAACAAATTCAATGTCGCGCGAGAGCTCCGGTCTCACGCACGCATGATCTTCCGTTATTTCCTATCACTTCTCGCGTGTGTTTGGTTGTGAAACGTAGTTTGCGGACCAGGCAGAAGTTGTCGGCGATTCTCTCTTTTGTAAAGTCATGCAGTGTGAAACCTCCTGTCGCCGATCCATCGTGCAGTGTGAACACAGCAGCAACTGAATGTTACCCCAGATAGTCACGCAGTGTGAAAACAACAGTGACCCGATTATTTTGAAAATCGTGCAGTCTGAACTCGGCATAAGCATGTCAACAAATACACGCGTAAGATTTTATGACAGTAGTAGAAGACAATACTGTTTCCCAACTGTAGGGGGACCCCGAGAGCAAAAGTTAACCAATGCTTTTTTTTTTTTTTTTTTGCAGAAAAGGTAACATACAAATAATAATAAAATATAAACAATAAAAGTTACCTAATGCTGCTTTAAGAATGCGGCTTTAGTGACGTCACTAAAGCCAAAGGCCCCGCCCACGAGTGTTGACAGACACTGCCGTTTTAACATAGACCCGCCCTGGGGTGCGTTTCCCGAAAGCATCGTTAGCCAACTATGGTCGCAATTTCCATTGAACTCTATTGGTAACGACGGAACTTGCGAGCATAGTTGGCTAACGATGCTTTCGGGAAACGCACCCCTGATCGAGTTCACAGCGAGTTGAGAGTTGTACACATCCGCCATTGCTGCACTGACGAGGATGTCTCCCAAGCGTTGTCGGTGTTGTGTAGCTGGATGTATTAATCCACATAGCTCAATATATTTACTCCCGAAATCTGAGCCAATGAAGACGAGGTTGATTAATTTTGTTTTTGAAGAAAATGCTCCCTCAACTCTACCAAAATTAATTTATGTCTGCTCGAATCATTTTACACCGGACAGCTTTTTGAATGAGGCTCAGTATGAAGCAGGTTTTGCGAAGGATGTAGCGGTGCCAACTGTTCGTGATCCAGCTACACGTCTAGAAGTAAGTATTACGCATTTGTTTTCCAAATTGCCTTTGAATTTGTCAAGTTCATAATAACATGTTAGACTTATAAAGTTTGTGTCCAGCTATGTTGTTATTTTTTTATCGCGCTGATAGTGAAATCTTTATTTGTAAAGGACAGCACATCAGAACAGAGCAGCCGAACAAGAGATGTTGCTTGCCAGACAGACGCAAAACCGCTGACCAAGTCTGTTGGCACTCGGTTCTCAATGAAGACGTTTCATGTTCGCTACAGGAGTTCAGGTATGTTTATGTATTACATGATACTGCTTATACAGAGGACCTATGGCTATAACTAGTCTTGTTACACAATAAGTGTCACATAACAGTAACACACAACTACTTTGTATATTACAGGTGACCAGACGACAGATACATTTTCGGACATTGACAGTTTGTCACCAGCAGCTGGTATAATATGTAGGTCCTCTACACCTATAAAGGGTCCATCAAAGAGACCTTGTGTGGAACTGGAGGAAGAGGATGATGATGAAGAAACCCTAATGGACACATCATCTGTAGTAGCACCTGAAGAGCAAGATTATACATTTGATTCAGCAGAGACGGACACAACTTTAACGGAGACAGCAGACATGTCGTAAGTTTCAAAACTGTGCATTTGTTTTAGAACAGGGGTGTTAAACTGAGTTCCTTGTTGGCCACAGCACTTCAGAGTTTACCTCTAATCAGTATTAAACACACCTGAGGCAGCTGATCAACTCTCTAAAGCCGAGTTCACTTCAGACTGCACGATTTTAGCCCCGATTTTGGCTCGCCGACAGGTTTTGAGAAATCGAACAACCTTCTGTAAGCAGTGATCACACAAACATTACAGCACTTTCAGAACCTCTTATTGTGTCGCAGTTCATTTAGTTTCCACTGGACATTCCCACCTTGCAGGCTTAAAAAAACTGCACTTATGAATAGCAGGCTTCCCTGGTGCGCACAAGCAGGGGAATGAACCGTTAATGTGCGCTATAAGCTTCCACGTCCGCTTCTCGCTCCTTGCTGTGACACCCAGCCCGAATTTTCCTTTAAAGGGGTGATGAACTGAGAAATCAAATTTTCCTTGAGCTTTTGACATCTAAGAGGTCATCAAATTATAAGAATATCGTGTAAGTTTCAGAACTGAAAACGTCCTTGTTAGTCCAATAAAAGCTTTTATTGACACCAGGCTCAGCAAACGACTCGTTTTTCAAAGTGGGAAACTATGACGACAAAGAGGATAAAACACCACCCCCGCAGAAGAAGATCAACGCCTACTTCAACACGGCCGGTTTAGCCCCGCCCACCGATTCGCGCATTACACGAAACTCATTATAATATGCAAAACTGTTATCCACTCACAGCAGTGGGCGTTTACTTCCAAGTCTTCAATGCGAGACGCCCATAAAAACCGAGCGTTTTTGAGCTAGGCTCAAAACTAGGGTAGAAAATAGCCTATTACTTATTCATTTTGATGTTTTTGAATGTAAAAACCAAGCGAACGTCATAAGTTGACCTCAGACAACAATATAAAACAATTTAAAAAGCCAGTTCATGACCCCTTTAATGGCCTAGTGTTCATCCACTAACTGGGCGAACAGTAAACACGGTTCTTCTGACCAGTCGGGCTTTCTCGTCTTTCTTGTTTTTTAATCCATGTGTGCTATATTAAATAAACATTCAAACCACCACTTAAATAGACAGCAATCAGTGTAATTGGAAAGAGTGGAACAATTTTTATCATTCTAAGCCAATCAAATACCTTAGGAAATTAACAGCAAGGTAAAAAAAAAAGGATTTATATACATAAATATAATGTGTGTGTGTGAGTAAACTCTATATTTAAAATGGCTTTTTTTTTTTTTTCTTGGACAACCAACCAATCACAGTCTTCAAAAGATTGTGTCATACATAGCAACTGGGTCAGCCCCGCCTCCTCACTAAGATGAGAGTTTTTGTCTTTTCCTTACTCAGAGTTGCCATCAGATCGTTCCCGAATCGCTCTTGAGCTAAGACTCCTACGTAAAAGTTTTTAAGCTAAATTAAGAGTTTTCTGAGAGGATTCTTAGAATCTTTATGAATACGGGGCCCAGAATATCAGTATTTTAATTGATATATTTACAATTATATCAAACAGAAACCAAGTAGCCTACACATTTGCTTGACCAGCAGCACATTGCAAAATTATTTTTTTACCTCCCACAAACAATCCTTGCTCTCGTCTCCCCCAACCATTTCCTCCTGCATAATCTGCTTTTCTTTTCTCATTTTCGCTTCAAATCCGCTCACAGACAATTGGGATCGCAAGCTTCTTTTTCAGGCTATCATTTTTAATAACAATTTGAGTCTGGCGCGAGAACTCCGGTCTCACGCACGCGTGATCTTGCGTTATTTCCTTATCACTTCTCGCGTGTGTTTGGTTGTGAAACGTAGTTTGCGGACCAGGCAGAAGTTGTCGGCGATTCTTTCTTTTGTAAAGTCATGCAGTGTGAAACCGCCTGTCGCCGATCCATCGTTCAGTGTGAACACAGCAGCAACTGAATGTTACCCCAGATAGTCACGCAGTGTGAAAAGAACAGTGACCCGACTACTTTGAAAATCGTGCAGTCTGAACTCGGCTTAAAGGCTCGTACACACCGGGACGAATATCGGCGTGCGTTATTCGCCAGCGTTTTTCAACGCGTTTTTTTGTGTTCACACCCAAGCGATTTTCGCTGACGATGAGCCGAGTGAACATGCAAATTCATTCCCTGACATTAGATGGCGCCCATTTGCTCTGCAATTCCACTCCATAACATTCTCTTTTATCAAGATTTAGATGTAGTCGCTGTCGCGTTTGTCATATAGTTCTTTATGTTCTGACACCAACGAGACCAGCAGCTCTACATTCATCTTGCCTTGCATCTTCCTCGTCTTATTTCTTCCCGGCAGTGTAGACGCTACTTGGCGTATATCTTCTTCGCCGTTACGTATGTGTGCTCGGCAAGACCGTTTTGTGTTTGAGCGCCCCCAAGTTGTGTTTTACTGTAACTTCAGAAGCTCCAGACACGTGAGCAAAAGCGCCAATCTCATTGGTCGGATAGTTTTTGACGCAGCGCGTCAAACTAAAAAAACGAACCCGAGGCGTTTAAAAAAAAATGACGCTTTTACGCGTGGCATTTTTCGCGCCGGTGTGCACACTCACATTGGCGCCCTTTGTTTAGTCACGAGGCATTAAACGTCGGCCCGGTGTGAACAGGCCTTAAGGCTCATTAAAAAAGTTCAAGTATGCCTGTTAACCCTTCTGGAACTGAGTTAAACACCCCTGGTTCAGGCGTTTATTATTTTTACTATTATTATATTTTGTGACTTGTTTTTAATTAGGGATGCACCGAATCCAGATTTGTGGGGTTCGGCCGAATACCGAATCCACTGGTTAAGATTCTGCCGAATCCGAAACCGAATACCGAATCTTACTCTCATTCTCAGTCCATTAACACAGTAAACACATTAATGAAGTAAACAACGTGTATTTTTCATTTTATTTTATTTTAACTGTACAAAAAAATAATAAGCAACATTATTCATTTTAACAGCAGCGATGTTGTGTATTGTTTAGGGTCCTTGCCACCACGAGACAAATCAGCATTGCAAATTGAACATGTAGCTCGACTTGAATTGTCTTCTTTTGACTGAAAGTACTGCCAAACAACACTGATTCTGCTCACGAGTTCCATTTCCACTTTCTCACACCTACTGCATTCGAATGGTCCACCTACTGTAACATGTAGAAATAAGGTGTGGCCCCTTTAAGAGCTGCGCGCTCCCTGTTGAACTGTCTGCAGTCTGTATTGTATGTGCCGTGCGCCTCGAACACCCCATGTATGCGGGTTATTTCTGTTTGATGCTCATTTTTATCGTGTGACAGACAGTTACACAAGTTCGATTGGGGAACAAAGTGCGAGTTGTGAGATGCCAAGTCTGTCTGTCCTCTGCAATAACTTTAGCTGTGAGCTATCCCTATTTTTCTTCCTGATCAGACTGATCTCATGAAATGGCGTATGTATGACACGCCAATTCGTATTTCCATTTTTGGCGTGCTATCAACACGCATAATCGCTTTTCAGTGTGTTTATCAACGCCGTTGACTTAACGTACATTACTGTATATATAAATATATGACCTACCCCAACCCCGTCCCTAAACCTAACCGTCACTGGGGTTAATACCATTTATGAGTCTTCCCCTACCATCCTAGGGAAAAAAATTTCGCTCCCCAGATGTAGATCTACATTTTGCTTCGTTTTCGCTCGGACATTTAACGGCGTAGACATACACGCAAAAGATGACGGTTCGTTTCGCCGTGGACATACACGCGGATAAGGACATATACGCGGATAGCTCAAAATGCGTATAGATAACACGCCACTTGACTTGAAAGTGGCGTGTATGTTTACGCAAAAGTCATGATGTCATGTTGTCCTGACACAACACGTTATACTACTATAGGCTTGTTCGACTTGCACAGACCGCTCTGTTTATGACATCAAAGTACCGCGAGAGCAATTTAAAAGCACTACGGGCCGTCTGCTCTCTATTCAAGTCGAACAAGCCTAACGTAAACACCTTCCCGTAATCAACGGCGGCGTGGCGGTAGTGCAAGCCAAGGGTTCGGTTCGGTGGAAAAAGATTCTAAGGTTCGGCAGAAACCGAACCCCGTTAAAAAGCCCAATATTCGGCCGAATCTGAATCCTGGATTCGGTGCATCCCTATTTTTAATATTGGTTAACCTATTCGAGTTTTTGTTTCTTAGTGCTCAAGCATCTTGTCCCATTCATAAAACCAGAAAATACATAATATACGAAAATTGCATTATGGAGCTGTTTGAGGTGTGCCCGGTTTGCAAGCGGAGCTGTTCTGTGCGTTCTCAAAGAATCGGAACTTTTATACGAGTTGAACAACTCTGCAAAAACTGTAAATATTCACGCAAATGGAACAGCCAGCCGGTTCTAGGCGGCACTCCAGCTGGGAACCTCCATATTTCTGCTGCAGTATATCTCTGTGGGGCTTCATTCTACAAATTCGAAAAGGTAAATGAAATATCAAGTACATTAACGCGTTTTTATTAACACTTTACCATGTTAAAATTTGTTATTTAAAATGAATAATGTGCTACATAATCTTGGCCGCTTTTTGTGTCACCAGATATGCTCTACTATGAATCTGCAGCTTTTCAAGTATGACACCTTTCGGCGCCATTCCCGATTGTACGTTGAGCCAGCTATAGTGCACAAGTGGACGCATTGGCGAAATGAGACGCTAGATCGCCTGAGTAAAAGGGAAAGGGTCATCGTTGGAGGTGACATGAGGGCTGACTCACCAGGTACATAGTTGTAAATAAGAAGGATGCATGGATGGGATTACTCGGGTACTTTCTGGATAATGAAGCATAACATGCATAGTAGTTATAGGTAGTATCTAACTGAGTTCAATGCACTCGTGGTAATAATGCTTTGTGTAATATTACTTTCAAAGGCCACTCTGCAAAGTTTGGAAGCTATACCTTGATGGACCTTCAGACCAACACCGTTGTGGACATACAGTTGGTTCAGGTGGGAGAGAAGAAATATCAGTATTTTTAAAAAAAAATACATTTCGAGAAGTTTATAACTTCAGGTTTGTCTAAGATGATTGTTTCGTTCCCTACTTGTCTATTTCAGAGTAACGAAGTGGGAGGAAGCTACCATATGGAAAAAGAGGGATTACAGAGGAGCCTTGCCCTGTTGGAAGCTCGTGGTGTTACTCTGGAGTGTATTGTAACTGACCGCCACCCACAAATACAAAAGTTCCTCAGAGAACGTAACATCAACCAATTTTATGATGTGTGGCACATCGAAAAAGGTTTTATTTAATTATAAATCATACAGATTCAATAACAGTTTTATAAGTGGGTATAATATGAAAATTAAGAAACTGTGACAATTTATAGACATATCACAAATATTTAGTACTGGCAAACTGTGAACATCACTGTATTTCCTCTCAGCGGTATAATGCTTGTCTGTATTTTTATTTACAGGGATTACGAGGAAACTTGAAAACATTTCCAAGATGAAAGACTGTGAAAAATTACGGAAATGGCAGAGAAGCATTAAAAACCACATTTACTGGACTGCATCATCTTCAACCACTGGACCAGAAAGAGTGGCAAAATGGAAATCGATTCTGAACCATGTCAGGAACGTACACACACATGAGGATCCAAACTTTCCTGCTTGTCTACATCCTCTGAAGAGAAGCAGAGACAGAAAGAAGTGGCTTGTTGCCGGTATGATACTGTAATTTATTTATTTTTTACAACACGACATAAAAAAAAAAGGGACTGTTAGTCGAAGTGTAAACAACCTTTTAGTTGTAATTAATGCAATTTTTGTATAATTTCTCATAGGAACTCAGGCATTCTACAAGCTGCAGAAAGTGATGACAAACGCACGGATTTTGAAGGACGTCACCAAACTAAGTCCGCATCACCAGACTTCATCTTTTGAGTCATTTCATAGCGTCATTCAACGGTTTGCCCCAAAAAATGTGGCGTTCCCGTTTCTTGGAATGTTGTGCAGGTAATTCAACTGCTGTTAAAATAACTTTACAGCACTATAGGCTATTTTCCTGAATTGTGTCTGTGCACTTGCAGACTATACCTGGCTGCATTTCATTACAATGAAAATTCTGGTTGTGCACAAGCAACATCATCAACAGGACATCCACTATTCAAAGTGAACCTTCCAAAGCCCAGGAAAGGACAATGCACGATCAAACAAGTGAAGACACCACCAACATTCAGTAAGTTAGTTATTTATTTTTTATATTTCTATTTTTTATCTTTTTACTAGGAGCGCTGTAGCCCCAATCTTAGGAGCGCAAGCAGAAAATGTAGGGGCACAAATCAGCTTGCAATGCAATTATTAACATTTTCTCCAAAATAACTGTAATACTGACAAATTCTTTAATAATAAATAGACTTAACGTACAGATATCCAGGGCTTAAAGTATTCCGGCACCGTGCCGGATCTCCGGCGTGCGGCCGTGAGGGAAAATAAAATTGGGAACTTGCATGCGGTTTAATATTTTCGAGTCAATTGATTTCACCTACCAATCATATGAGAGGATCGCAGCTCTAACTAACGTTACAAGCCTATCAGAAGCAGAGCAGGGCGGGTTCTGGCAACACAGTGTGGTTGAGATCCATACGTCACATTAGCGTCGTCGGTGAAAGCATGGAGCGCAAGTTCATAAAGGCCGGGGATGATGTCTTACCCACGGGTGTAATTTCCCATTGCGTACAGGGGGGACATGTCCCCCCCACTTTCAAATTAGTTTGTTATGATTTTTAACCGCACGCCGTCATTGCCACGGAGGAGCAAGACCGAGCCTGTGTAAAATAGCTCACTGAAAGTTCTAATGCGCAGGTATAGCGGTTGCGACCATAGACTATAAAAAATTAATTGCGACACAGTCAGTGATGAAACGCCAGAAACAACAACAGGTGACTAATGTCATCATGGATGAAAAGAAACAAAGGAGATGTGAGTTGGTTGATTCAGGAAATTAGCTCAGGTCAGAATAATGGGTAACTTCAGACTGTTAGCTAAATATTAAATGTAGAACATTCTGTGTAGCTTACTAAAAAAAAAGTATTCTGTCAGCAATGTATGACAAGTGCTGTCAACATCAACGCATGCGATTCATTTTTGTCCAGCTTTAACGTTTTAAAATATTTAACGCAATTAACACAGCATCCATCCGTTCTTTCTGTCATCCTTTAGCTAGGGTTATGATCATGCTCTTATTCACGCAAATGCTTTAAACCATTCCTGCGCAACAAGACAAAAGAGAACGTGCTGTCAGTGAATGTCCTCCTGACGCGCGCACACACGACGCACAGAAAGACGCCCCCGCGCCAGTAAGTTACCGAGTTCTCTTTCGCGCTTGAACGAACTGTCAATAACTCACACATTTATGCCAAAATGTCTGTTTTGTCGAGTATCCTCACAAGAACAGTCTTAAATGAGTTAAATAAAATCTTAAATGGAAGTAAATATAGTGAGAGAATGAGATGCATGAGATCCTGTCAGCAGCGGCAGATCTTAAAGTGACAGGAGGCATTACTTCTGTCTGTCAGTAAAGATAACTTAAAGAACAGAGGGAACAGAGAAAATTACTCACTGCTCTTGACTGAAGAACGCTTGTAGCTTTGATAAGGATTAATCTATATTTCATTTATAATTTATGCAGTGCGGACTGTTTTATAACCTTATTCAATTTCTGTTTGGTACAGGTAAATGACATTTATTATGGGTTTTAGTGTGGATTGTTTTAAGTTCACTTAAATTAAAAGTTTTTATATTTTTTGAAGCTTAACGTTTAAAATTGGGGGGAAAATCATTTTCATCGAGACATCTGTAGCTATAATATTAGTGATACTGGCTTTCATTCATAAAAAGATGCCATTAAGATACAGCTGTAATACTTGAAAATAAATGGTGCCATTGAAGATAAGTCCGTCTAAGTCACTGAATTACTGAATTATATATATATATCATATATATATATATATATATATATATATATATATATATATATATATATATATTAGGGCCGGGACTCGATTAAAAAAATTAATCTAATTAATTAGAGGCTTTGTAATTAATTAATCGAAATTAATCGCATTTTATTTGCATAAATATTTGACCTGAGAACAGTGAGAAGTAATTTTTTTCACATGGATTTTTTTAGTATAATATTGAATAATGACTGAATACACAACATGACATCATGACTTTGCGTAAACATACACGCCACTTTCAATTCAAGTGGCGTGTTATCTATACGCATTTTGAGGTATCCGCGTGTATGTCCACGCCGAAATCTTTTGCGTGTATGTCTACGCCATTAAATGTCCGAGTGATTCCGCGTGTATGTGTACGCCGTTAAATGTCCGAGCGAAACGAAGCAAAATCTATATCTACATCTGTGGAGCGATATTTCTTTTCCTAGGATGGTAGGAGAAGACTCATAAATGGTATTAACCCCAGTGACGGGTAGGTTTAGGGATGGGGTTGGGGTAGGTCATATATTTATATATACATAATACAGTAATATAACGTTAAGTCAAAGGCGTTGATAAACACGCTGAAAAGCGATTATGCGTGTTGATAGCACGCCAAAAATGAAAATACGAATTGGCGTGTCATACATACGCCATTTCATGAGATCAGTCTGATAAGCTTAAGCAACAAAATAGTTTATTTTTGTTCAACCAAGTCCAGCAGACCAGTGCAATTTTTGCCATTAAGTGTAGCAATAGCATATTGAACACACTAATGGTGTGTTCATACCGAACGCGAATTTAATTATTTGCGCGAGTAGATTACATACAAAGTCAACGCAAAGACGCGAATAGACGCATCATTCGCGCCGGGCGTTGCGAATGACGCGAATTGGGCAACGCGTTTGCCGCGAATGTCTTTCTGGCAAGTTGAAAAATTTGGACTTGAGCGAATGTTCAAGTGTCTAACTTGACGCGATAGACGCGTATTTGACGCTCTATTCGCGTGCGGTGTGAACACACCATAATAGCAATAGCGAATTCCTTGTTGCATAGCTTGCACACAACCATGCTCTTATCGACGCTTCCATCCATTCGCTTTTTATAACAAATTTTCCCATCCACCGGCCAACCAAAGCGATCTCGTCAGCTTCTTCGTCATGAGCGCTAGTTGGTGCGCCAGTATAATCGGTCCGCCGAAACTCATCCAGTGAGAAACGTTCCGCGGTGCAAAACTAAGTTTGATTAAAATAATTTGTGTAATTAATTAACGCGTTAAAGTCTGTAATTAATTAATCTTAATTAACGCGTTAAAGTCCCGGCCCTAATATATATATATATATATATATATATATATATATATTATAGTTTTGAAGTGCTGGAAAAAGATGTGTTCGCGTTTGACTATTTCTGTCACAATACCATAGTTATGGTTACACTTCCTACATTAGCCTAAATCCATGGTGAACTGATTTGATCTGATATCTATGGTTTATAACAGAGAACTCTGCGGCGAATCGGATTCTATGGTTTCTCACAGGATCTCGCAGCGATGATGCTATTAATTCTGAGGCGAATTCAATGGATTTCTTCACTGGATCTCCTAGTTACATTGTTGCGTGATCAAGATCGGCCCGCGACTGGCAAGTTCGGGGCGCTGCACTGTCTATTATTGGTCTGAACTAATAAACGGTCCGTGAAGCTAAATGAATAGCGCATTTTCGTTACGCTTTCATTTTGCCGGCATTCGAGCCCTAAATAAATATTTGGTTGCACCGGCAAGAAAAATTGTTGAAAAACGCCCTGTTATAAAATGAAATATAAATTAACGGTAAAATACTTTAATATCTACAAATACATTTTGTTTTATTGCACAGAGTACCTAGATGACCTGCAGGACCTAATATTTGACCATGTTTTTGTGGACCCTGCTCCATCCATGGATGAGGTACTAAAGATACCCATACCACCAGACCTTTGTGCGGAGTATGAGCGGCCAGACAAGGAGGAGGTCATCTCCACCATGGTGTCCAGATTCAATCATCAGCTGGTGGGAAACCTACATATCTGCCCTAAACATCTGGAAACTCACGGTGACCCCTCTTCACCACACAGGCTGGAAGCACGACACGTACCCGACGTCCAAGGAAACCCCAGCACCAGCTCACAAAGGAGCGATATGCCAGAAACCTGTAACGACTAAAACACAGGCCAATGTACAGGTGAAACTAGTAAAATTAGAATATCGTGCAAAAGTTTGTGTATTTCAGTAATTCAAATTAAAAGGTGAAACTAATATATTTAGTATATATAACTATATACATATGCATGATTATACTTTTCAGAGGGCCGACATTTCTGTATTTAAAATCCTTTTTTTATTGATTTCATGTAATATTCTAATTTTCTGAGATTTAGAATTTTGTTTTTTCATAAACTGTAAGCTATAATCTTCACAATTATAACTTTTGCACGATATTCTAATTTTTCGAGTTTCACCTGTGCATATAATCATTTATTTTTCAGCAATGTCTTTGTTTTGTTTTATAGCACAGCCTATGCTGCATTTTGTGCTTTCTTATAATTCTATAGAGCTGTTCATAAGCACAATCTAAGACTCCTGAAGTTATATCTTACTATTGTATATCAAATTTAAAATATTCACTAGTTTGTTTACAGTATGTATTGTTTTTTGTAGAAACTGCAATGTTTATTTAATTACAAGGAAAAAAGATCCATCCACTGAATATTTATACAAATTGTGAAATAATTTTCTTGTATTTGCAGAGTGTTGATGATGTTAATAAATATTAAGTTTGTTCTGCAATATGTGTTGTCAATTTCATGGTTACAATTCAGAATATAGGCAAGTTTTTACTTTTGTGCAGTCAATATGTGTAGGTTGATTGCAAATGTATTATATAGCCCTGCATTACGATTTTCAAACTTTAAAGTGTAAATTGCAGGTTAACCACCACAACCAATTAATGTGTAAATTAAAGTGCTTAATATGTATACATTTAAAAATTTCTGTCTTAAAATGCGTTAAAATAACATTTATTGGGGTTTCTTCAAAGGTAGCATGTTTTCTAAAGTAACTGGGTGATGACGTCATAAAAGGGAGCGTGGGCGGTAATGCACTCACTCTGTGTGTGCGGGTTGAGGGAGAATAAAACGATTCGCGGGACTCCTGCAAACTAGAAATATCTATGAATAAAACATAAAAACTAATACATTTGTATTCATCTGTTTCAGAAAAGCAATAAGAACAACTCAAACAAAATAGAAACGATTTACAGGCAGAGTTTCTATTTCTAACATGTCTGCAGGGTTGAGCGATGTAGACAATCACAGACATGCGTGTTGATTTCTTGAATGCAATGGCCAATCAGAAGCATTTAAGATAGACTCCCCTCACCGCTCAAAACGGACTTTTTGTTCAGTGCTGAATTCTGTATGCTGGCAAATCCTCTAATTATAACAAACATAGTGTATTATGAAAGCTTCATTGATAATAACAGATGTGTGAGATCGCAATGAACTGATGTCAGCTTTTTAGGAATTATTATGGGAGCGTGCATCAGTCATGCCAAACCATGCACGCAGTAGCTGCTTGCTTTTATGTTATAACAGTGGTTTGTGTGTTAATGCTTTATAACAAATAATTTATCAGGAGCATTTATGCTTGTGTATGGTGGCGACATGTAGGCTAACTTGAAAGTATTTGGAGGTACAGAAAAAGTCTTTTTGCGGGTGGGAGCGGGACAAAACATACATGTTGCGGGCGGGAGAAAGTAATATAGAAAGTAGTTGAGAACGTCAGTTATAACGACCCACGTATTAAAAAATAGTCGGGTTTAAACCGGGCTCGGGCTCATAATTACAGTTAATGTGCCGGACCAGGCTCGGACACAGCGGGCTCGGGTAGGGTCTTGCTTGATTTTTTTGGGCCCGATCTAAGCTCTACCTCGGGTAAGTTATGCTAACACTTACAGGCACGAATCAGCCGTTTGTCCTTGGGGAACTTGTGGAGCCTCTCCCCCGGTTTTGATGTATTCGTACATCCCAATAGTTAACCATTTTTGCTAGCTAGGTCTCCAATATAGCGTAACTCTAGGCTTGGAGGATAGACAGTAAAAGCTTGGAGTACCTTTTATGACGTAACGCCCAGCTAGTGGAAGGGAGGGGGCGTGCTTAAAAGCACTGTAAAACGTACCAACTTTTCATATTATATTCAGAATTTTGGTATAAAAAACATTAAAAAAAACAATGGTGGACAGTTCTTATCTTTATGTTTAGTAAGCACATTGCATTATCTTCGTGAAAAATTTTACCTGCAATTTACACTTTAATCGAATATAAAACCGTGACATAAAATTTTAAAACACTCTTCATCGACACTTACTGTACAATTCCATGCAGATGTAAGATTCCATAGTCGGCTCGATAAATGTTGTATGCATTCTGAAGAGAATACACGTTTAAACAAACAGGCTCCAATCCAGGATGCTCAGTCATACATCTGGGAGTCTGCTCAAGCTGTCGCATCCGTCTTTTCACCTTTTTTGCCACAAATTTCGTAACATGAATGCGTGACACCTACAGTGAGTTATTGAGTCTACATTACTGGGTTTAACTACATTAGAACTAGGGTTGGGTACCGAAACTCGGTGCCAATAGGGAACCGGTTCCGACGTAAACGGTAGTAACCAGACCGAATAAGAACGAAAATTTCGGTGCCTGATTTCGGTGCCTAACTTCATTAGGCACACACGCACACACACAAGGTCTCTCGCTCTCTCTCTCTCCGCCGTGCGTGTGCTACACAGTTTGGAGCACAGTCTCTTCTGTCTCGCAAGCGCGCTCTTTCTCGCAAGGTTTGGCTGCATTTCACGTGTAAAATTACGTGTCAGAACGCCCTCTGGGTGTGCCGATAGTCTGAATCCCATATAGAATCAAGCCAATTCATTGGCTGATGGCGCGGGCGCCGCATCGACGCACTTACGTCGTCATACTATGTTGGCGCGCGCGCGCCATCTGCTCCTCAGATTTCTTTGCCGAAAAAGGAAGCTGGTCGGCAGCGCGAGGAGCTTGGCAGCGTCTCGTTCCCTATTGAGAGATATGTTACACCAGTAACCAGAGATGTTCTCTTTCATAGGTTTACTCAACGCTGCGTAGCTAAGAAGCAGTGGATTTGTAGGCTGCTGTATCACGTGCCGTTTGAACTGACGCGCTACAGCGATCTGTCACATTTCAAAGAGCCAAAACGTTATTTATTGTGTGAATCTCGTAAAAATATTGACAGAATCTGACAGCTGTGGATTTGTTCCATATCAAAAGTAACCTTCTCTGTCTTGTCTGTCCGTGTCCTCTTTGTCCGCGATTTTTCTGTGTGAAAAGGGTCATTTGCGTGAGTCTCACGGTCAATGCGTGAGAGTTGGCAGCTCTGCCTGCTAGTAATCTCTATTAATCTCCAGTATTATTACATTGTTTGATACAATATTGTTTCATTTGATATTATGTAAATATGAATTTTTATTTTATATTGGTTTTATTATTACCATATGTTACTTGTATTTATATTGTTTAAAGATTTAAGTTAATATTGTGTCCAGTTTGGCCCTGTAAATTAAAGGGTATTATTTTTTGATAAAGTGTGTGCGGTTTCATTTTTTTAAGGACCGATTTAAGAACCGTTTAAGCACCGGAACCGTTTAAAAAATACCGAGTAGGTACTGGAATCGGATAAAACCCAAACGATACCCAACCCTAATTAGAACATCAACTAACCATTCTGAAACTTCCTGCTGCAGTCTATATGTTGTAATTACTTCTTCAGCCTCTCCTTCACTGTCCGATTCCGGTTCATACATATACGGCTGAACAACATTACTTGCAGTTTCAGACAAAGACACCGCCACGTGATCTTGATCGTATGAAGTGGGTTTCCCCTCAGGGAGAACTCTCTGGTCCTGAGCCACCACTGCAAGGGTCTCATGCACAGTAGGCCCAACAGTCTCTCAAACTGTTTCACAGTGCGTGACTGGCCTAGCTTCATCTCTTTAGATAGTGTGGCTCGCATAGTGACTGAATCCCATACCAAACCAAGGAAAGTGGTTCTCTGTAGTGGAGAAAGCACACTCTTCTTGGCATCGAGTCTCAACCCCAATTTCTTCATGTGAGTGAGGATGACATCTCGATGCCGAACCGCTAACTGCTCTGAGACTGAATGGAAGCACCCAGTATTGGTATTCTTTGCCCCCGAAAGAAAACCTCAGGAACTTCCTGTGTAGATGCAGGATGGAGACATGGAAGTAAGCGTCTTTTAGATCTATTTTGACAAACCAGTCCTCAGAACTGATTTGAGTCACGATCTGTTTGAGAGTGAGCATCTTGAACTTGAGTTTCTTGACTGCACAATTCAACAGACGAAGATCTAAAATGGGACGCAACCCCTCATCCTTTTTCGGAATAACGAAGTAGCGGCTGTAAAACCCTGATTCTCTGTTGGGCGAATACACCTGCTCTATTTCTCCTTTCGTTAATAGAGACTCTACTACTTTCTCCATTACCAGAGCCTGTTCGCGATGTACTAAAGTGTGGAGGAACCCCGTTGTACCGAGGTGGAGGAGAACCAAACTGGATTCTGTAACCATTCCCTTTTTGTTGTGCGTGATATGAGGATCTCGGCTAGGGATGCTCACACCCAGCATCCCCAGGGGGCTGGATTCGGCGATGGAGAAATTGGTGCCTTGTTTTTTGGTTTTTGGTGCCTTGAAATCTTTCAACAACCGTGTTGATTGAGTCGCCAAAGAGACCAGAAGGAGAAATAGGTGCATCTAACAGAAACGCCCGATCTTTCTCCTTTATTTCTGCTAAATTTAACCAGAGGTTCTCTCAGTAGCTACAAGGGCTGCCATAGACCACCCATGAGCGGTCTCCTTCGTAGAGGAGAGACATGAGAGACAGATCTGTGGCCCGACTAAGTTCTCAAATTTCGTCAGGACCCACTCCCTCACTATTATCCAGATCCCCCAACACGTCTGCCTGATAAGCCTGAAGCACTGCCATAGTGTGAAGACAGGCTCCGGCTTGACCTGCTGCCGTATAAGCTTTGCCCACTAAATTAGATGTAGTTTTTAAAGGTTTAGTGGGCAGCACGGGAGCCTTCAGGGACGATGCTGAACCAGGAGACAGATAGCTCACGAGCTATCTGCAGATAGCTACAGATAGCT